AGCACATGGGCTGCCCAGGGGTGTCCTGGCGTGTCTCCTTGGCGTGGGGGACGCAGCAGACAGGGGACCCCGCTTGCCCACGCGGTCCGCGAGCGCAGAGGAGCACGGTGCCCTCGACCGCTTCTCTCCTCTCCCTCGTCCTTGCCTGTGCTCGCTGCGCGCTCCTGCGACAGGTGACAGCCTCCGCAGTGCTGTCGGGGCTGTCCCCATCCCGCCCAGGAACGGGACCGGCGTCTCAAGGTACTGTCTAGTGATGCACAGCCCAGACCGCGCCGCTAGGTTGTGGCCAGGGGAGAGCGTGAGACGGGTGGTGGGCGTGGGGAAACCCCGCTGGCAACTCAAAATCTTGTTTATGAGACTTTATTTTTGCGGCTGGAGCAATGCACCCCTCCAGTCGGGTTGCAAGAACCCCCTCCAGGAGGGAGGAGGAGTGGGGAACGCCCCGCGGTCAGACCGCGCCCCCTGCTGGCCAATCGCGCCCGTACGGGAGGCGCGGCTTCTTGCAGGCTAGCTCCTGGGTGGGTGGGTGCAGTGGCACTTCGATTGGACCCACTAGGGCTGCAGTGCCCACGAATGGTGCAAGCTTCGCTTAAAGCGCTCAGGACACGGTGTCTGGAGAGGTGGCCCAGGCAGAGGAACCAGAGATAGTGTGGAGACAAACGGTGTGAATCTTGCCTCTTCCCCATGTGGAGGAGAGGAGATTCCATCTCATTCCCAGACCACCAACCGGTCACTCTTTTGTGAACTTGTGGCCATGCCTCTGAGGTACGTTCACTGGGTTTAAGGTCCATAAGGGGGTTGCCTGGGATATTATGGATTGATGGATCCCCAAAGAGAAGGGGGGTGTAAGTAGAGATTCCTTGAAATTAACTTCCCTCCAGGGCCTGACAGACAAACTTTCTGACAACCCATCACCCAAAGCTGGGTTTTCAGATTAAAGACGGGGAAAAAGGAGGGGTGGAGTGGAGAGAAGACTGTTCATTGCAGTGTACTGTATCGCTGTATCACTGTCCTCCCGTTGTTCATCGATTTGCTCAAGCGGGCCCAGTAACGTCTTATTTTGACACTTGTTACTGTGCTTGGCATATTGAATACATCATGGGTAGCTTGCCAGGCTTTGCCGTGCGGGTGAAAAACTCTCGATAGCTTGCCAGGCTCTCTGAGAGGGGCAGAGGAATCGAACCCGGCTGGGCCGGGCTGGCTGTGCGCAAGGCAAACGCCCTACCACTGTGCTATCGCTCCAGCCCATGCAGCGTACAGTTCTCATCAATATTTGTAGAGATAGTGCTCGTTCAAAATTGTAGGGAAATCTATATAGCTGAGCCGTGGTGGGGGTGAATTCTAATGCTCATTACTGATGAATTCCAGTGTTCATCAGTGGTGTAAGAGAACTCTGGTGGTAGAGAATACTAATGCTAGAATGGTAGAAATCTTTAATGCTTGTTCACCACCAGGTAACAATTACAGTACTCAACTGTAGTGGTAGAGAATTGTTGTCCTCATTTGTAGGCGAGAATTCCAGTGCTCATTCAGTTCTAGAGCTTTCTGAATGCTTATCCACATTGGAAGAAAACTCCATTGTTCATAAATACTGGAAGATAATTTTGGTTCTTGTCTATAATGGTAGGGGATTGGATTCATCCACAGTGGTAATGTTCATCCACGTTGGTAGAGAATTCTGCCCTCAGGCTTACTTAATGAAAGAGAATTCTGGTGCTAGGGTGAAGAAAAATCTAGTGTTCATGGTAGTGGAAAAGATTTCTTGTGCCCATTCTGAGTGGGATAGATCTTGATTCTCACCTGCACTGGAAGAGAATTCTGGGGGGTCTGAATTTCATAGTCTAGAGTGTAGGGTATAGTAATACTTACAACAGTGGTTAAGAGTTCCAATGCTCCTCAACGTCAGTAGCATGTACCCCAGAACGTTAGAGCACGCAGCGCTTAATCTAGATTCTAGTGCTCACTAGCCACGGGAGAGAGTTCTAGTGCTTATCTGTAGCCAAGAATGCTATTGATCATCCGCAAGGTAAAGAATTCTGATGCTCATTCCCATTAGAAGAGAATTCTAGTGGTTACTTTAGTAGGAGACTATTCCAGTGCTTTCCTTAGTGTCTGAATTCTAATGCTCATTAACAGAGAGAATTCTACTACTAGAATTCTGATTCTAACACTAGAATTCTAGCATTCTTCCACACCTTTTCTCTTCTGAGCATGCAAGAGGATTACCCTTCTCCCCACGTCAGCAGGGATAAACCAGCTCTGGTCAAGAGTGAAGATGTGACTTCCGGGCCCAAACATGAACTTGGCAGCGACTGTTGGCCTTCACAGCCTTTCTGCTCCCATCAATCAGTTAAGAGCTCAAAATCCAATCAGGGTGAATTATGGAGCTGGGGGATTACTGGGGGACCCCCTAGGAACCATGGGGGGTATATTTTGGTGAGCAAGACAGATTTCCCTGTGAGTCCTATAATAGATAGTATGCTCAAGGAGCTACCAGGAGAGGAACTGGTTAAATGGACAGGTTTGTAAGCTGTACAGATGTGCACTTTTAAACTGACCTATTGTCATCCAGGAGAGAGAGGTGGTGGGGATGGGGGTGAGGTGGGGGCAGGGGCACTCAGGGACTTCAGCAAGGGGGAGGGCCCTATGTAGAGTGACAATAGTACATGATGGGGGTGGGGTGGAGAACTACAGGACAGGTGTGTCACAGGAGGAAAACTGTCTCTCACTTGCTCAGGCCCCAATGACATGTTTAATCTCTTGTAAAAGACTATGAGGAGTCTGGTGTGACTGACAGGAGAGAAATAGCTCTCCCTGGACAATTAGTTCCTGTGGCTGTAAAAGAGCTCGCGCTCGCACTCTCTCTCCTCTCTCTCTCTTTATCACACACACACACACAGACACACACACACCATGCACAGTTCCAGCCCCTGCCAATCTCTCGGGGCATCTGTAGTAAGAGCATTATAGTGTGCGATCCATTTGATTGCGAGTGCTGCTCCCCATCTTTGGCTGGAAGAGTCACAGGAGTGGCATTGTTCTCTAAGCAGGGATCTCGGCCTGGCACCACCCAGGGCTGCTCCCTTGAAGGGCTGTCTGCGTGCAGATCTCCGCAGGCCTTTTCTTGTGGCAGCCTTTGCCTCCGTCCCCTTTCTCGTGAATCCTCTTATGACTGGTGGCGCTCTATATAGGAGTGCTTGGTCAATGGTCAATGGGGGGGGGGGGGCGGGGATGTTCTTGCTACTTGGATGGAAGCTGGTCAATGAAATGTTTCCCGGTTCTCCCCCATTCCATCCCCCACCTCCTTCCCATGGGTCAGTGAACCGCATTGGGAACAGAAGGGCCTCCCCATTGGAGAATGACCAGGGTAATGAGCTCTGCACTGCAGCCAGGTTGACTTCAGGTAGCATTGGCATGAAACTGGCCGCAATGCTTAGTCTATGGCTTTGGATTTTCATCTTCAAAAGTGGCCTTAAGGCCAGCCTGGCTGCAGTAGGTTGCAGGCTAATGTCTGAAGACACAGTGGTTGTGTGTGTGTGTGTGTGTGTTTATTTTTGGGTAGCACCCGGCAACACACAGGGGTTACTCCTGGTTCTGCACTCAGAAATCACTCCTGGCAGTGCTGGGGGACCATATGAGATGCTAGGAATTGAACCCATATGGCTGTGTGCAAGGCAAATGCCCTACCCCTGTGCTATTGCTCCAGGCCCCCGAAGACACAGTGTTTGATTCTCCTGCAACCACGAGGGAAGTGTGGTCTCCACATGCTTCCTTAAATGTGTGTTGGGAGACCTGAAACTTGAACATGTCCAAAGCACTGAAACTAGGAAAAAAAGAACCTGTGGGAATTTCTTGCTTCAGCCCTCTAGGGGCTGGGAGAGGGAGAGGCGCAGAGAGGGAATCTAGGACAGACAAGGGGCAGAGAGGGGCAATGGGCGGTGGTCCTGTCACTGAAACCCAAGGTGTGCAGGCTCACTTGACGCCCTCAGGGGCCTCCCATTAGGACAAGTACCAAAACTCTCCCTCCGCGGGAGGCCCCAAGACTCTGCAGGAGTGCCTGGAACCACACTCCGTGGCTGTGCTTTCCAGCCAGCAGGGGGCGCTGAAGTCAACCTGAAATGCTCCGCTCACGTGCGCCAACTGGCCAAGGGACACAGGATTCTGCCTGGGCACAGTGTCCCTGTGAAGGGCCCCAGGCCCCACCAAGCACCATGGTGGGGCTCTTAAGAAAATAAAGTGTAGGGCAGGAGCAATAGCACAGGCGTTAAGAAACTTGCCTCGCATGTGGCTGACCCCGGTTCAATCCTTGGTACCGCGTAATCGGTTCCCTAAGCACCGCCAGGAGTGATTCCCTGAGCACAGAGCCAGGAGTAGCCCCCGAGAACCATCAAGTGTGGATAAAAAAAATTTCTTTGAATGTCCTGCATCACTTCAGAGACATCCCAAAGTCCACAGCAATATTCTGGACCCGGGTGAGGGACTGGGGATGTGCATTTGAACAACCTCTCTGAGTTTTGCTGCCTTTGCAGGGAGTTTGCTCCATTCTGTTCTGGAAGGGAAAGGACGTTGACCCGCGGCATTCCCTGCTGACCCACATGGAGAGGTCTGCTGAGGGGACTCGCGTCAGTTCTGCCCAAGCCCGATGGCTCGGATTTGTCACTCTGCTTTGTATTCATCTCACTTTCTGGATGTGAACTCAAGGGGGACCAGGTCTCCTGAGAACCCTGTGATGTGTGTGTGTTGATGGTGGTGGTGGTGAGGAGGAATCCAGGCCTGAGAACTCCCTGCTACAAGCTGTGACCATGACAGGCAGAACTTGGCCGGAGGAACAAGATCAACAGAACACTGGTGCCACAGAACAGGCTGAGACTGGTGTCCATGCTCAAAGCTGCGGCCAGGCTCTGAGGCCTGTGGTGTGGACACTTCCTCTGCCAGAGCGTGCGGGTCCTGTTTTGTCCCGACAGGGCCACATGATGGCACGAAGTCATGACCAAGATAAATCAATAGCAAAACTAGAATATATTAATAGCAATATCAAAACCGATTTGGGAGGGCCGCCCACCGCCCGGTCTCTGCAGGCTGGACTTGCCCAGGTGTGCAGCCAGCAGGCAGGTCTCGGAATCTGGTGACACTGCAGCAAGGAGGACCCGGTTAGTCACAGGAAGCGTTTTCCAAGCAGAACCATTTGGAGTAGCTGGAACTGGCCCCGGGGGTGCCTGGCGCCCCTGCCTGAGTGAGAACTTGGGAACAGGCCCTGGGCACCGGCGACACTCGCCGAGCTGTCAGACTCGGGCAGCCGGTCATGTACACACAGTGTCTTTCCTAAAGAGTGGGACTGGGGCCTAAGGGTCAGTGAGCAGTGCCCGGCCTGTCCAGCCAAGCGCCAGAGGCTGGCCTGTGTGGTGGGCCATGGATTATCAGGGTCCTGCTGAGTTTCTGGTTCTCATTCTGTCTATCCTGGAGAGGGGCCTGGTGTGAAGGAGGAGGGGCGCAGGCGGAGACCCCGGTGCCATGCTGCGTGTGTAGGGGCCCGCCAACCTTAGTCCATATCCAGTTCTGGCCCCATTGTGGTGGGTGCCCTGTTTCTGGCCCCCCACGCGTCCTGTCTCTGGAGAGGTGGGGAAGCCTCCTCTCCCCAGGTGCTGCCCAGCCGGCTCGGGGCTTTCGGCCTTTGCGCTGGGCACTGGCTCTCCTGGCTTCTCCCACCGTCTCTTCTCTTCTAGACCACGCAGGCTGATGTCCACAGGGGCCTGGCCGCCTGCCCCAGGAAAGCCCGGGGAGGGGCCCCAAACACTGAGCTGGGGTTGCTCCCAGACTACAGACGGGGGGAACCATCCACCTCTTGTGTCCAGCTCACTTGGCTGGACATGGAGCCCCAGCAGACAGCAGTGAGCATGACAGGTCCTGGCCAGAAGGACCCAGAGTGACCTGTCCAGGGACCAGGCCTCACTCTGCTGAGTGCACGTGGGAAGCTTGGGGGCCGGCTGACCATGGTCCCCGACAGGGGCACCTTCCAAAGTGGCCTCAGGGGCCAGGATGTGAGGAGGTGAGAGAGCATCTGGGGGTTGGGGTGGCCTCACCGGCTTCGGAGGGGCCCCTTCCCTAGCCTGGCTCTGGCCACTGACAGCGAAGTCCACTCCCTCCTATGGGCCAGTGACTTTTCTGCTCATCACTGAGGTAAGGGGTGGACTAGAGCAGCCTCCAGGGGCCTCCTCACCTGAGACTGTGCTTTGGGGGAGAGACTGGCGTGCGGGAGGCCCCTCCCGAGGATCCCAGCTCTCTGCCCGTCCAGCTCAGGGCCCCCCAGGGACCTCGGGGCACATGTGGGGGAGGACGCAGGGAGGGCAAACAGTGACGGAGTCTTCTCTGGTACTTAAAAACAGAAATGACGTGTCGTTAGTATCTGCAGGCAGGTGGAGTGGGCAGAGTCCACCGACGGGGCAGGCGGCCGAGGGTCCGGGTCAGATGAGGCTGGCGGTCTTCTCCTGCACGTTGTACTCCTTGCTCTTCTTCACCCGCCAGGCAAGGAGCACCAGCAGCAGCGCGCCCAGCGCCTTGTGGCCCATCTGCAGACCCAGGTACCTGCGGACAGGAGGGGCCGGGCATGGCGGTGCTGCGGACACTCAGGGAAAGTAGAACCGCCCACGGTGGCCCAGGAACGGTTTCCTCATGCCTCCCAGACTTTCTCCCCCATGTGAAGACAGCTTTCCTCATTTCTTTGGCCACGGGTACAAGTGTTCAGTGCATAGGCAGGAGCCGGCAGGGCTTATCCCCAGGGGCGCCCCCCAGAGGCTAGATGCAGCCCTGCAGCCTCAGCCAGTCTGCAGGGGCCTGGGCTCCAGGCACTGAGGGGGCACCTTTCCGCCCTCCTCCTGATCTTCCCTCTCCGCATTTTGTTCCTGCCATTGGCCCCTGCCAGGAGCAGACATAGTCTACCCGGCTGAGCAGAGGGCGGCCAGCTGGTCCCGTCCCACCTCCCCTACCCCCGCCCCACCATCCCTGCCTTTGGATAAACTTCTTCCTTTCTTCCTTTCTCTCTGCAGTTGCCTCTCTCGATAGCCAGTGGGGATTGCAGGCCACCTCACAGTGGTCCTCTTGAGCCCCGAAGGCCTGTCCGTGGTGGTCCCACGCCCTGTGCACTGAGCGGCCCTCTGGTTTGCAGGTAGCAGAGAAGCTGCCCGCGGCCCTCACCTGTTCCGGAGGTTGTCGTTGTCATAGTAGGCACAGGCCCCTCGTCTCACTGAGCACTGTGAGCTCCACCGGATGCAGGAATAGTCGATGGTGAGGCCGTAGAGGGCTGGAGAGGGCAGCCAGGCTGGCACCAGAGGGAAGAGAGAGCAGGAAGGAAGGTCACGGGCACTGTAGGCAGGGCTAGGGGAGCGAGTCCCTATAGCGCTGAGCAGGAAGATCCCAGGTCTGAGAACAGCATTCTCTGCCCTGGGAACCACAATGGCTCTGGAGAGCACTAGAAAGCTCTGGAAAGTTCTAGAAAGCTCTAGAAAGCAGAGCGCTTTTTAGGAAGCCCGCATGCCTCTTACACTGGAAGGTGTGGCAGAGTAAGGGCCCCAAGCTCCCTTTTAGACCAGGCCACCTCAAGGCCTGTACACATGGACAAGAGTCCTGCATGGGGAACTGGTCCAGACATTGAAGTGCTGACCACCTCTGCCTGGCCACTCTTGAGGCAGAAGCCTCAAGTCCTCCTGGAGTGGACCCAACGTATGCTATCTCTACCTGTCAGCTCAGCCAAGCAGCGAAACACTGGGCTTCGGATGCCTCACACCCAGGTCTCTGAGCTCCGATGCAAAAATAAAGGCAAGTGCTCTATGCTGCAGGAATGAGGGGCTGGCAAGTTCATTTCCAAGGTGACAGGGCTCCTCAGGCCCCCCGGGGGGGGGGGTGTTTGGGCGGGAGAACCAAGGTCTCCTTTGGGGTTGGAGCAAGTTGGAAACGAGTTGTGCAGTTACAAAAATGAAACGGGGCGCCAGGATGGACCTCTGCCAGGTCAGAGAGGGGGTCGGAGGGGCTTGTCAAGAAGAGACGAGCTGGGGGTCGCAGCCAGCAACCCCCACCAAGAACGTGTTCCCCGCTCAGGGCCCAGAGTGTCCTGCAGAGGCTGCCCCTCAGCAGATCCTGGAGGGCCATCACCAGCACAGACAGAATTTCACGGAAGTGGGGACCTGGCGCCCCGGAAATTACATGCTGTGGGCATTTTAGCCTTTAAGGTCACCGAGTGCAAAGGATGAAGTCCCGAAATCCCTCGGCGGTCTTCGCACATTACCCCACCAGTCAGCCCCTGGTCCACCCACACTTACACAGCTTCTCTGTATAGCAGCGATGAGCTCTGGCTCTCCCCAATCCCGCCCGGCAACCCAAGCTGCCTCAGGGCCACTCCCCAGGAGGGGGGACACTCCTCAGATACTTACCCAGCAGGCGCATCAGCAGGAACTGGACCCCGATGGCGAAGGACTTTTCCTCCTGGTTCACCACGCTGAAAGGGCACAGGCGGTCTGTACTGGAGGACCGGCCTCTGCCCTCTGCCCTCTGCCCTCCTTCCCTTGCCCTTTCCACTTTCCCTGCCCTTGTGGGAACCGCCAGCCCCCAGCCTGAGCTACAGGCAGGCGGATGGGATTCCCCTGGATCCAGCTCATGAGTCTCGTCCAGTCGTCAGAACCTCCCCATCCCGTACCCACGCCCCCGGGGACACATTAGAAATGCAGATTTCCAGGGCCCACTTAGTCAAACCCAGCAATGGCACCTACTGTCACTGGGCTGCCCGACACCAGTCCTCTGAGGCCAGGTTCATCACCCCCATTTCGCAGAAGAGCAAACTGGGGCTCAGTGAGGTTGCTACATGCAGGATGCAGGATGTTCTGCCGTGCCCTTTCCCTTCTCCTCGTTTTCACCATCCTCACCCTCTCTGGAAACTCCCCAGCCCCTCTCCCACGGCTAGGCATCGGCAGAATTCTCCTCCCTCTCTCGGTTCGTCTGGGATTTGAAAGCGAGTGGGTCTCGGGGTCCGTTCCCATGGGGTTTGGCCACATGCAGGCCAGCCCTCCCCACCACCGCGCGGCGCCCCCATGCCCCAGAGTACTGGCGGGCCACGCAGGAGCACGCGGGTGGCTTTTGCATTTGCTCGTCTCTCAGCAAAGCGCCTTTAGAGGTGGGTGAGGACCCCACCCCCACCACAGGGGCCGAGAGGCTGGGCTGGCCACTCACCGGAGCACCATCATGTAGAGCGGGTTGTGCGAGATGCAGGCGATGAGGGACACGAAGGAGATGAGGAAGATGGCGGAGAGCAGGAGGTGAGCGCAAGGGATGGGGCAGGGCCCTGCCTTCGCTGCTGACGAGACCCCCTTCACGCAGTTGCAGTTCAAATAGATCTTGGGACAAGAAGGGGTGGGGGTGGCGGTTAGGCGCCTGCGCCAGCTCTGGCGGAGTCCTGGGGGTCAAGACGCTCCTCTGGAGTCCTGCCATGCACCAGGAGACATCTGCAGCAGCACCACGGCCCAGGAGCTTGGTGCTCGAGCTGGCGCTGCCAGGCAAAGACCCACCCAGCTCAGGGCCGCCCCGGCAGGAGCTTGGGGGCTGGGGGTGCATTCCTGCATGAAGGGCGAGGGAGGGAGCCGAGGAGGGAATGCGGGCAACCACTGTGCGGTACAGGTCTGGGCCAGAGCCTTTGGCTCGGTCTTGCTCCTATCTCAGGGGGCTCCCCAGAAGAGATTTCTATTCCAAGTCTGCGAGTCCATGTGGGTCCTATGGTGATGGTACAGCTCCCCTTAAGGCCCTGGCTGATGCCCGGGAGCGTGCCGTCCCTCTCCCACCATTCCCTGGACCAGCTGAGAGCTCTCTGGGCTACAGAGCAGTGATGGGTCAGGGAGTGAGCCCGTCCACTTCCTGCCACCGCACAGGGGAAAGGAAGCGCTTTTCATCCGGGCTGCTAGGAAGCTCAGGAATAAGTTCTCGAGAACACTGCAGCTATTTCCTCCAGTTTAGAGCTTTTAAAACATTTTTCACTTGTAATGATACCTCTTTTCTCTTGACATTATGCTAATGGATATCACTGTGCTATTGTTGGAAACTTGTCAAGATTATTTCTGGAAGTAAATGAGTCAGTGGTAAGTAAATACAGATAAGAAAGCCACAGAGTCACCGCAGCCTCCTCTGACCAGAAGGCGACTGATACTGGAGCCGGGCTTCTCTCTGCCTCCCACCCTGCCCCTTGCCCACAGAGCTGCCTGTGGGGCAGCCCTGGTCTGTCCGCTCCGAGGAGGATGGTAAGGAGGACTCAGATGTTCAGGCCATCCACGCAGGCGTGATGAAACCAGGCACATTCCTCCCTGGGGGCAAGTCCAGATCTCCCTCAGCTCCTGGGAACTGAGCTGCCAATGCCAACCCTGGCCTGCCCAGCCCTGGCCATTGCCCTTTCCCCGACCTGACGGGCGTGACACTCCTCCTCCATCTCACGCCAGCTCAGCCATGCCCGGCGCCAGCTCTTCCCAGACTGGAAAGGGTCCACCACCAAGGTTTTTCTCTCTGGTGCGAGCTCACAGGTTCCTTGGGGCAGACTCCCCAGTCTCCAGTGACCCGGGTCCCTTCCTGGAACCGCCTTCTAGAAAGGAAGCCCCACGAGATGATGGACCGACCATGGCAATTGTGGCCTAATCCCCAGCACCCATAGCTGTGCGGTGGCCAGGCCACTGAACCACTGAGCGAATGACTCGATTGGGTTATGGGTGCCTGGTCCGAGAAACCAGCAGCCCACAAACTCCTGGCGGGTTGGGAACCCACCCAAAGTAGCACAACCAATGTGGGCTCCCTGAGTGGAAGTCCCAAACCTGCCCTTCAACAGCCGGGACTGTCCGCCAGAATACAGCCATGCCTAGGGAGTGAAGAGTTGAATCAAATGCCCACGGTCACTGCGCTGGGCCTAAGCCTCCAGGTCCACAGGCAGAGACACTCTGCCCTCAGTGTCCACACCAGTTCAATGGCTTTGCTGGACCATGGGCACCAAAATCTAGGGGGTGGGGGGGTTGTGTTAGGACCAGCTTAGCCGGAGAACTGCCATGACAGGCTCTGGGTGACTTAGGCCTCTTCCAGGAACAAGAAAAGCAGAAAAACCAGATGCTTTTGTCAAAGATTACATCCCTGGAATACGATTAGGTCTCTGGAATGTAACTGTCAGGGAGGTGGGCTGGACGTTGCGGGCCCAAACAACAACAACAAAAATATATGTGCTATATATTTATAGGGCATAGAAAATTGCTGAGTAATGCTAACTTGCCAAAATGAAAGCATAAGAACTTGCTGAACCTAGTGCTCAGCGTCCTTGTTGAAACCCGCCGCGCCGGGTAGATACTTGGACCCCAGCTAGCTGGAACAATAAACGTCGCAGTGTGATTTGCATTATCGGCTCTGTTCTCTGTCCTGGAGGGGTGGTCGACTCCGAACTCTAACAGCTGCATCAGGAGATGCCTCATACAATTCACTGAAGCAAGGCTTGTTCCCCTCAGAGTGTGGCGGGGCCACCAGAATGGGGTTTGCTGAAGCTTGGCCCATCTTTATGTCACTTAGGGTCAGAGGCATCTGGCCGTGACTCGAGGAAAGGGAGATAGAGGGAGCGCAGGCATGACCCCAAGGGAGCCAGGATGTGGGAAGGAAGTGGAGGGTGCCTGGTCCTTCTATGACCGGGAGGCCATAGAGCACCCCCGGAGCCTTACCGGCTGCTTGGAGGTCACGGAGCTGCTGTTGATGTCGCTGCAGCCAGCGTGGCACGGCGAGAGATACTCCACACCATCGTCCCCACACACGGGGTGGAACATGGCATCTGTGCACCCACAGTCCTTGCGGCAGGCTAAAGGCTGCGGGTGGGGAGAACTCGGTGGGCTGCCAGCAAGACAGGAAAGAGGGTTCAAACAAAGCAAGATGAGCGGGAAAGCACACGTGCCCCGCTGCAGACAGGGCCCACTTCTCGGCTGGCTGGGCCTCGCCACTGGGGCCCAGTGGAGCCAAGGACCAACCTGCCGCTAGCGGGGCTCATGGCAACTCTCCACGGCTTTTGCCACTCGGGGCCCAAACCCCACCAGGAGGAAAACTCAGTGAGGCCGCCCTTCCCTGCAGAAGGGGCCAACACACTGACCACCCAGGACTCTGTCTGTCTGTCTGTCTCTTTGTTTTGATTTTGCTGTTTGGGTCACACCCATGATGCTCAAGGGTTACTCCTGGCTCTGCACTCAGGAATTACTCCTGGCGGTGCTCGAAGAACCATACGAGGGATGCCGGGGATCAAACCTGGGTCAGCCACATGCAAGGCAAACGCCCTCTCCACTGTACTATCGCTCCAGCCACCGTGTCTGTTTTGTTTGGGGGGTGTTCCCAGCTTACTCCTGACCCGCTGTGCTAACTCACTAGCCCCACCTGGGACCCTGACAAGACTGATGGCGGGGGTCCATGGGAAGGCCGCAGGGAACTCCCATCCCCCTCTCCCCTAGAGGCTGAGGCTGCAGCTGGAAAGCGGCCCCCAGATCCAGGCTCTGATCCTAGTGGACGGGGTCTCTGCACATCCCCCACCCCATTACCTGTAGTTGACCTCTGCCACGTTGGGGGTGGAGCAGCCCATGAAGAAGAGAGGGACACAGAAGATCATGGAGATGGTGATTATGGTGATAGCCACGCGGGGGATGGTTTGCAGAGAGAAGGCAAAGCGCTTCATGAGGATTCCTCCCAGCAGCATGCCCAGGGCCGCCGCGGGCAGGTTCACGGCACCTGCGGAGGGAGGGGCTGCTCGAGGCCGGTTCGGGTGCCTGGGTGGGGAGTGCGGCCTCGGACCAGAGACAAGCCAGCCGGGCTGGCTTCCGTCTGACAAGGACACACACAGCTGCAGAGGCTGACAGACCGCCCAGCACAGACAGGACTGCCGGTCAGTGTCCAGGAGACAGGAGGGGCCATGCAGGGAGAGGCACGTGAGCTGCAGTGCTCTTTCATCCCTGACCTTCGCTGCATCCTCACAGAAACCACACGAGGTCAGCAAGGCATGGTGTAGCAAAGACGGGAGGTTCCGGGGTGAGATTATAGCCAAAGGCCACACAAGAGGTTGGGGTCACACCATGTCCACTTCGCCCATCCACACAGTCAAGTTCACCTGTGAACTGGGCCCTGTAATCCAGTAGGGTGTTTGGGGAGACCCTGTCAGTGATTCTTTTTGTTTGTTTGTTTTTGGGTCACACTGGTGATGCTCAGGGGTTACTTCTGGGTCTGCACTTAGGAATTCCTCCTGGCGGTGCTTGGGGAACCCTATGGGATGCTGGGGATCAAACCTGGGTCGGCCGCATGCAGGGCAAATGCCCTACCCACTGTGCTTTCGCTCCAACCCCCATCAGTGGTTCTTAAGCTCAGGCAGTGCCCGTTCCAATGCCAGACCCCTTCTGAGACTCTGCTTTCCACGGCCACCAGAAGCCTGGCTGGGCCTTGGTTAATTTCCAACTCCTCAGGAGACCATAATGTGGAAGGGGTTCTCTTATTTCAGCAAACACACTCAAGGCCCTGGGAAGGAAAGGGGGCAAAGGCAGGGGCCGTTTTCTAACCCCCGGGATCTCGCTCTCCCTCCGCTGCGGTGAGTCTGTGAGAGGCTGTGAGGCTGCCTGCCCCCAGGACAGGAGGAAGGCGACCCCCACTCCCTGAACTGCTGCCTGGGTTGACAGGGCCCCAGGAACCTGCCCCTGAGTGCGGCAGGTCGCCAACCAGGAAGAACATCCTTGAGACTCTTTCTCTGGGCAACTCCTGCTCCGGCTCCAGCCAGTGTCCAGTCTGGCCGAGTTGGGCTCACGGGCTGCTGGTACAGACAGGTCCCCCCCGGCCCCGACTCACCGATGAGAAAGTTGGCGTAGGCCGCGGAGGTGCCATACTGCTTCTCCAGGAACTTGTTGAGGAAGGTGGAGAGGCCAGCGATGACGGAGGAGAAGGTGCACTGGGCCAGGACGACCAGCACGAAGAGCGGGTTCAGCAGGAGCCTCGCGAAGATGCGGGGGAAACCTGCAAGCAGACGCCGTCAGGCTGCTCGGGCCGATGCCCACGCTACAGGCAATGGTGGGCCAAGTATGGAGAGGAAAAGGACCCCCTGGAGAGGTTCTCGAGAGCCTGTTGCTTCCACAAGACGGGAGGAGAGCTGGGCAATGCTGTGGGGAGGTTGCGGACCCCTGGCAGCCTGTGGAGGGCTGGGACCACCTGCTCCCTTACCTCACACCACACCCACAGGGTGGGGAACCCCTGAGCCCCAGCCCAGCCCCCAGCTGCTCCCTGGAGTGCCTGCCAGCCAGTTACGTTTAATGAAGTCCACCAGGGAGCCACTGGGTACGGCATCCTCCATCTTCCTCGTCTCGTCCGCTATGGCTGGAGACTGCTGAGGAGGCAAAGGGGAGGGACCTGAGCGTCTCCCTGAGGTGCCTTCCTGCACCCTTCACCCTCCATCCTGGACGCTCCAGGCCCAACGGGGATGTGAGGAGGGAGAGGGTCTGGGCCAGGCCACACGCGAATTCCTCCACATACTTGAGCTGCTGATTTCATACCCAACCTTCCGTGGCAGATACCCATTCCTCCCATGCTAGTCGGTCGTGGGAGCATCCTTCCTGTCTTCGGACCCTTTGGGGACCCCTAGTCCAGAAGGCCCTCGTGCCAGTCTCTGTCTCGCTCCTCCACAGACCTGCCTCCTCCCGGGTTCCCAGTGGAGTTCTGCTTGTGCTTCTGTGCTGGGCCTTGACTTTCTCTGCTTCACAGACATACGGTCCCGAGCCCTGACACTGAGGGCCCTCGAGGAACCTGTTCCCTAAGGGCTCACTCCAGGTTTCTCCCTCTCCACAGGCACTGTCTCCATCCTCACAACTATCCTCACAGCATGGGTCTCTTTCTCCAGCATTTTAAAAAGTTCGGAATACTTGCACAAGGTCCCTCGCCTAGGCTCTGAGCAGCAGAGCAGGATACAAACTCAGGTTTGAATCCTATATCACCAAATTTAACCAACCGATTTTCCCCCAAGGCAAGCTGGGCACTCCTGCCCCATCCCTGCCCCCAACCCCTACACACATACACACTCCAGGTCTCCACCTCAAATTCTTCATTGCCCAGTGATTGTCAAGTTCTGTCCCTGGCACAAAGTTTGGGTGCAAATTTGAGTCCCTCTTCCAAAGCAACTCACTGGTAAGTCCTCAGGGAACGCCAATGCTTGCCCTAGTTTGGGCTCTCAGACAGCCATTCCTTCCCAAGACCGAGACCATCATCGAGCTAACCACCATGCTACCCCATCAAGTGGACCCTCTGTTCACGATAGCAGCATATGGTGCCTTTCTAGCTCAAAACAAGTTTGAGATCCTCCCTCAGTCCAACAACCAGGCTCATGACCATTCTTCCCTGTTTTCCTTTCTCATCTTTGCCTAATTTCTTCCCCAACAGGATATGATGAGAAGAGGTTCAAAATGGGCACCCTTGTAGCTCTCCCTTGACACTGGAATCCCCTTTCCCTCAGCCTTCAGGATTAGATGCTTTGGGGCCCTTCTAAATGCAAAATCAGATACCCTAGTCCCCATATCCATGTCTCCAGGGCTCTTCGTTTTTCATCCCACTCTAGAGGAGCTCAGAGGATCCCAAATTACATTCCGTGGAGCCTGCCCAGCCGCCAAATGCCAGCACGGTAAGGAGCCTCTGACAGACTCTATTGACGACAGTCATCCTCACTTTTCAAAGTTCTGAGAGATCCTGCCTCACAAAACTTGTGCTGATTGCCCCGCAGCTTCTTGGCTCCACTCGCTCCCTACCCCACTTCCTTGTTTGGGCACCGAGAGGCAGATTCAAGGGTGCTCGGAACTTACCTCCACTTCTCTGTGCAAGGCTCGAGGAAAGAAGAAAAAAGGGAACGAGCTAATCACCAATAAGGCCGAAGCAATGAGCAGGCCCAGCCACCAGGCTCCAATCCATCGGGGGTCTCCGGGGCTCAAGTTCACTGTGGCTGAAGCGAAACAAGAGGATGCAAGAATGCTTTAGGGCATGCACGTTCTTGCCTTACAAGAAAGAGGTTCTTGGAGCAGGCCCGTTTTTACTGATCAAGGAAGCTTCCACTCATCTGTTTCCAATCCTGAAAAGGGGTGACCCCACTGGTGGCTGAGTCACCGGAGGGCTCACCAGTGGTCAGACCCAGACCCCACAGTCAGAGTCAGGTGCCAGCAAAGTACAGGGAGAGGCCAGGTGAACTGCCTCAGCCAATCAGGAAACAGGGTCAGAGGGGCTAACCTTGCTCTTGACCCCGGAAGTGCCACCTCCTCAAGCAGGTTCAAACTTTGTTTTTCTGGGTGCCCAAACAGTGGTACTCGTCACCACTGAACACAGCTGGCCCCAAGTTTGCTGAGTCCTAAGAACTGAAATTCCAAACTGCTTAAAAGACTGAGAGAACAATGTGCCTTGGACTGGGCAACCTTCCTCAGAGTGAGCAAACTTTCAAAAAGTGAGCAACATTCTTCAGAGTGGGCAATCTTCCTCAGAGTAGGCAACACTTTTCAGACCGAGCCATCTTCTTCAGACTGAGCCATCTTCTTCAGAGTGGGAAACCCTCCGAGTGGGCAACCTTCCTCAGGGAAACTGCTCCTGATGAGTCTCCCTCCTGCATCTCAAGGTGACCACAGGTTGAGAATAGAGGAGGGAGAGGTGGCAGAATGGCTCACAGTGAGATGCTTCAGATGGCTAATGAACTTCATGGGTACTCAAGAGCTAGGAACAACTGAGGCCGCATCAGCAAAAGGTCAAAGATGGTTTGGCACCTAGGGAGAAATCCCCCATACTCCCCCTCTCTCTGGGAGAACAGGCAGGACGCCCTACAGAAGACACCGGATTTGTAGGCATATTCTAATCTTTACCACAGCTCTATTTTACCAGGCCTCATAAGTCCCATTTCACAGACAAGGAAGTGAGGCACAGAAAGGTCAATATTTCCAAGATGACTCAACCAGCAAGAGGTGGAGCCAGCACTGGGCACAGTCTGTCCCCTCTGGATGGAAGTCATAGTCAACCCATGTGTACTTTATGTGCAGTCTCCTTTTTCAGGAAAAGAATTCTTATTAAATCTTTATTTCTAAACAACTAAAATCATCTTAGACTCAAAGAATCAGAGATGAACTCCCATAATCACCAGCACTGCAGCCCTGCTTGGAGTCTGTCATAAACATCTCAGGTGCAGAAAGTATGTTTCTTCCGCAGCAGTCCCCCACCACACATGGCATGGGCCCCAGTCAGAGCCAGAAGCTGTTCACCTCAGGCTATCTGAGGGACTGTAAGGAAAAGTGCGGGAGTGAAAGGAAGAAGCGTGTGAGTGAGTGAAAGAGGATGGTATGTGTGTGTGTGTGTTTGTGTTTATGTATGAGAAAGCATGTGAGTGAGCAAAGGATGGGAGTGAGGGAAGAAGTACGTATGTGAGTGAGGAAGGGAGTGTGTGTGTGAGTGAATGAAAGATGGATTCAGTGGCTGTGAACAAGTGACTGCATGAGTAAGTGATGATGTGAGTACATGACTGTGAGTGTAACTCTAAGTAACTGAGTGATGAAATGACTGTGAATGAGTGTGTTGCATAAGCATGTAATAAGTGATTGTGTGAGTGGCTGTGGTTGTGTGAGTGTGTGTGACTTACTATGTGAGTGTGTGATTGTGAGGGAGTGAATGAATAATTGAATGAGTGATTGTAAATGAGTGTGAGTGACTTGTTGTAAGAGCTAGCGTGTGCGTGAATAATCTGCACGAGCAAGTGAGAGTGGCTGTATGTGTGTGACTGTGTGAATGTGAGTGTGAGTGACTGCATGAGTGAATCTATGAGTGTGCATGACTGCATGAGTGAATCTGTGTGAGTGAGCGAATTTGAGTGAGTGAGTGAGTGAGTGAGTGTGACTGTGTGCGTGACTGTGAGTAAGTGAGTGACTGGGTAAGTGACTGTGAATGGATATGCATGAGTGAATCTGTGTGAGCGAGTGAGAGCAAGTGTGAGTGACCGTGTGAGTGAATCTGTGTGAGTGAAAGAGAGTGAATGTGAGTGACCATGTGAGTGAATCTGTGTAAGTGAGGGAAAGTGAGTGTGAGTGACTGCGTGAGTGAATCTGTGTGAGTGAGGGAGCGTGTGAGTGATTGTGTGAGTGAATCTGTGTGAGGGAGAGTGAGTACGCGTGACTCTGTGCGTATGACAGAGTGTTCGTGACTGCATGAGCAGGTGACTGTGAGCGCATTGGGCAGGAGGGGCTGGCCGAGAGCCTTTGCCGATGAAACCTTGTCCTGACCTAAGCATTGCCTGGACTGATGCAGCCCAGGACGGGCACACACTCACCTGTGTCCACCCTGCCGTAGTCCACGAAGATCCGCAGCATGACAGAGCCCAGCAGGTACCCGAAGGCCGGTCCGAACACAGAGATGGCGAATAAAATGGCTGGAAAGAGGAATGGAAAAGGAGGCTGAGCCTGTCAGCCCCACAGCATTTAGGAATGCCAGGGGCAGCCATGCTAGGGGGTGACAGTAGGCTGGGGGGTGACACTCCCCAAAGGGACATCACAGAGGCACACAAAGGGGTGAATTTAGACAGTGGAATGGTCACCCGCTATCTGCTCTGGATGTGCGTCTCTGAGGCTCACCTGCCCCCAAGCAAATGGCCAGAGACAACACGTGGAACCAGGCCTGGGACAGGTGTTAGCAGCAGCTCAGGCTGGGCTGGCAGGGGGCCAGGTGATCTCTACGTAAACAAAGCTTCAGATTGCAGGAGGAAGCAGGGCCCTGCCCTGGGCTCAGCCTTGTGCATGCGTGTGTGTGCTTGTGCATGTGTGTGTGTGTTTGTGGTGGCAGGGTGGGCATCAGAAGTGGTAGGAATTCTGAGCCCCAAACCTCTGCATCACTGCCGGTGTGGTAAGGCAAAGTGCTGATTTTCCTCCATCTGCCCCCCCGGGCCCGGTCAATGCCACATCAGGTACCGCCCACCTTGCCACCCTCATCAAGACAGGCAACTCACAGATGTACAGGGGCGAGTTGTTGGGCTCGGCGAAGTCATCCACGTAGGAGATGCCAAAGGGCTGAATGGGCACTGTCCCGATGCCCGCCAGCAGCTGAGCCAGCACCATCAGACCCCACAGGCTGGTGATCTCCTTCTGGGCCTCCTGGGAGGAGCTGTGGCACTCACTGGGGGCCTGGTCCCCCAAGTGCTTCTGACAGAGCTCGTCCTGGTAGTGGCTGCTGTTGCCTGCAGGGAGAGAGCCTCGGTCACTCCCACTGTGTCTCTGGCTCCTGTCAGTGTGACCCCAAACCTGGCCTTTCTCTGGGCCCTTTGGGACAGAGGCTGTACTGGCACACAGCACACGACTCTGAGGGTCTGTCCACTTGGTGTGGAGAGACAATTCTAGAAAGAAGGGTGAGCGCGGCTTCTGCTCTGAGGGAGTCTATACTCTCCTTCAGGGGCAAATGCCCCCCCCCCAAAAAAACTCACACAGAGACTACATTCTCCTTAGAATTAATGCACTCCCTCAGTAAAATTAACTTTTAAAATAAAAAGCCAAGCTCGTGGACCTTTGGCACCCTGTCCTTGGCCTTGAGCCTTCAGTGCCTCCTTTAGATGTTTGGGCCACACCCAGAAATGCTCAGGGGTCACCTCCTAGTGGTGCTGGGGGACCAAGTACTTTAACCCTGTACTAGCTCTCTGGTCCTCAACAAAGTGGTCATAAGGAAAAATAAACTGGTCTTAGCCCTACATCACTGTGTGATCTTGGGCCAGTTCCTAAGTCACTCTGAGCCTCAGTTTCCCATGAGACAGAGACCCGAAGGTGGCTGCATAGGGAGATTTTCTATAAGTCATTACGGCACGAGATGATGGTTCCAGAAAGGGTTTCAGGTAGGAAAAGGAGGCGCCTGTAGGTAAGTGGAGAATGAAGACTGAGCCTGCTCTCCTGCAGGAAGGCCAGGAGGGACAGAGAAAAGGTGTGGGTGTGGGGAGGTTCTTCTTAGCACAGATACCTTCATCCCCTTCATCCCCAGCAGGCTAATCCTCATCAAAACCCAGAATAGGGCATGATGGAGAAGCAGCAGAGATGTTGGAACTCTGAGCACTGTGGGTGGGAATATAATGTAAAACGGGGTGCCATGATGAGAACACAATAGTGTCCTGAAAAAAAAAAAACAACAGGGGGCCAGAGCGATGGTAAGTGGGTAATGCTTGCCTTGCACCTGGCCAACCCAAATTTGATCCCTTGCATCCCACATGGTCTCCCGAGCACTGCCAGGAGTCATTCCTGAGTGCAGAGCTAGGAGTGCAGAACTAACTCATCACTGAGCACTGCTGAGCATGACACAAAAAGCCAAAAACCAAACGAACAGAACTACCATGTGATCCAGCAATCCCATGGCTGCGCGTGTACCCTAAGGAATAGGAGCAGGGAATGAACAGCTATCTTTCCACCAGTGTCCACAACAGGAAGTCACACCTGTCGACAGGTGAGAAGCCCCGAAGCATCCATTGGAGAGGTCCCTGAACCCCTGAGCGCCTGTTGAGAGGCCCCCAAATGAATATGAGAATAGGGCCTGAGACTTGGCTCAAAGGGCTGGGCACATTTGGAATGCAGGAGTCCCAAGTTCAATTCCTACGTGGTCCTTGACCACTGGTTACCAGAGGTAACCCCAATGCACCACAGGATGTAGCCCCAAATCTAAATATAAAAAACGGGGGTCCACGAACCAGAAGAAGGGGGAAGGAAAGAGAGTGTACGAGGAGCTTTTCGCAGAACTGGGGGTCTCCCCTCTCTCTGCCGCACCCCACCCTTCTCTTTTCTGGAGTAGTTGTCAGTTTTCCTTGGAAGCCAGGGCCCAAGTGAATGAAGAGTTGGCTACCACCCCCCATTCCCAGGTCACCCAACAGAGCTTCTCCCTGGCCACCCTCTACTAAGTGGTGGCTCTGGAACGTCTTTCCAGAGGTGGGAGGAGGCCCTCTCCCCACAGAGTACACGCAGAGAGCATCTGCTTGCCTGACCCACGTCAGTGTGTGTCTCATCTTCCCTGGGGCAGAAGCCTGCAGGGCCTGAGTTCATCAGCACACGTTCTTTGCCTGCAGGACAGCAGAGGTGGCTCCGCCAGCTTTCCGGGGACTATGCAATGCTAAGTGGAAACAGGCCGGGATCCCCGGCACCACCCCAGCAGCACGTGAGTCAACTCTGACTCATGCCACGTTTTGCATCCCAAGAACTTTACCTCTGGGTTTTGGACCCCTTGGCGGGTCTGGATATTGGGGGAGGGCTGTGTGGAGAGGGGCTCTCTCTGGTGATGGGACCGGAGGAGAGGGGGCAGGACTGAGGTCAGGAGAGGTCAGGGCCCTGTGCGGCTCACCGACACACACCAGGTTGGCCAAACTGATTCTCGCTGGGTGGGCCCTAGAAGGAGGCTTCCCAGGAGGTAAACCTGGCAAGGAGGCCGTCCAGGATGAGTTTCTCATGGCCAAGGAGTGAAGGATTCTGCCAGGAGGCAACAGTCAAGTCCCCACCCAGGACTGGTTTTGTTTTGTTTTGTTTTGTCTTGTCTTGGGGAGGGGTCCCACACCCAGCGATGCTCAAGGACTACTCCTGGCTCTGCACTCAGGAAATACTCCTGGCGGTGCTCAGGAGACCACACGGGATGCCGGGATTGAACCCTGGTTGGCCATGCTCAAGGCAAGCGCCCTACCCCCTATACTCTGGCTCTGGCCTCAGAAGGCTGGTTTTTAAGAGCCACCCAATACCTCCTCACTCAAGGCGGCATGAACCATGGACAAGGAGGGTCCTGTGGGGAGGCTGGGGAGGCCCCAAATCCTCAGAACCTTGATGGAGACAATATGCCAAGGCAGAGGTGTTTCCCAGGAATTTACTGGAAACATTGTCAAGGTACCAAACCCTTTTGCTCCAGTATTGCTCCTGGAACGTCATTCAGAATGTTCCACTCTGAAGGACCCATTTCCTCATCCTCCCAAATTGGGCTGCTCAACAGTTCTTTTCGAAAGAACTGGCTACACCCACTGGCGGGCCTGGAACAGACTGTCCTGAACTCGCTCAGGCTTTGGGATCCCAAAGTGGGCTGGAACTTAGGTTGTTTGCAAGTCTGGAGTGATGGTGGGTGATCCCAACAGAGTTGACAAAGCCTTATTAATCCAGAAAGCTCCTGGAAAATCTTCTCTACTATAACCAGCCTCCACTTATAGAAGGGACTGGAACTCTAGACATGTTCTTTGCACCTCCAGAACAGAACTGGGTTGACATCATTTGGAGGCTGGGGCTCAGGGCTAAAGGAAGAAATTTACTAGGTGTCTACCTTGGCTCTCTGCTCAAAGGTCCCTCAGAAGTGGCGTCTTCACTCCCCCAGACAGATGCAAGACTGCTTGCCTTGCATTTTATCTAAGGATTAGAAATCATGAGTCCATTCAACCCAGGACGTGATGATACAGTAAGACCAAGGTTCCCCGCAAAAGACGGGAAAGTTTGAGCAGTATTCAACTCCTCATTCTGCAAGGAGGAACTGGTAGAACTTTGGGGACAATGATATTGAGGTTTGTGAGAACCTGGGAACTGAGCCCAGAAATCAGAAGCAAATCAAATAAGGGCTGGCCGCCAGCAATGGTGGATTGTTATAAAGGATCTGAGGGGCAAGTGGGTGGCATGGAAGGTTACCCCTCTGCAGAAGAAATGATGTTGGGGAGAGCAGAGGGGATTCCCCTACTCTGGACCCAAGACTGGGTTTGAGGTTGAGGTTGGCATGCCTTCCCCGCCTACCACACTGGCACTAGTGCAGGGGGTACTGAAGAAATGCCTCCTTGGCCACAATGAGGCCTGTACACTGTTAGCAAAAGGGATTTTCACCCACCTGCCCCACCGCTCATCCATTCTCCTGCATAGCACCCTGAGGGTCACCCCTTGGCTCAAGAAAGAGGCCCCTTGGCTCAGCTCCTCATCAGAGCCACTTCCTAGTGGCAGGAGGGAGTGAGAGAGACCCCCAAAGAGCTGATGGAGACCTCAGCAGCTTATTTTACTTGTCTGGGTGATGCGTGCTTGGTTTACATCCACTTGCTTTATATCCAACTGGGTGTGAAGCGGAACTTATCATTCACAGATTTATTAGACAGTATGATGGGAACCTCGTCAGAAAAAAAAAAAAGCAATTAAGTGAGCTAACATGAGTTCATCTGCAGGCAGTCATGCCAAGCCAAGCTCGTTTCCTCTGCAACGGGGGCTCCCAGGCTGGCCGGAAGCTATGCGTGGTAGAACATGCCGGAGGAAGCTTCCTGACAAAGCTTGCCATGAGAGTCTGGGGACGCATGGTAGGAACATCCCTGGGAGAAGCGACTCAGAGCACACCCAGTGCAGGCTGTGTAGCCAGAGGAACTGGCGCCAGGCACCACTCAGTACTGTGCTCACAGGCTAGGGGGAAGTCAGCTGGGAGATGACAAATCTGCGAAGGGCAGGTTGCTGGAGTCATGGCTAGTATGAGAGCCCAGAGGCTGAAAATTCCAAACTAGACCCAAGGCAGTCAAGAAGGACTCCAGCCCAGGAGAGCGACTATAAATGAGTCTTAGTTTCGAGGGCTGGAGAGTACAATGGGTAGGACTCTTGCCTCACACCCAGCTGACCCAGGTTCTATCTCTCACACACCATATGGTCCTGAATCCACTAGGAGTGATCCCTGAATGCAGAGCAAGAGGAAGCCCTGAGCACCACCAGGTGTGGCACCTCCCCCAGCAACCCAGTCTCCCCACCAAAAGAGTCTTAGTTTGGATTTCTGTGTCAAAGGACCCTAATGGGGCTAATGGCTCAGGGGCCGAGTATTTGCCTAGCATGCGTGAGGTCCTGAGTTTAATTCTCAGCACCACGTGAGTCCCAAGCACTGCTAGGAGTAGCCCCTAAGCACCACAGAGTACAGTCCCCAAGCCCCCAATCAAAGACCCATAACTGGGTGGCTTGAAAAATCAGAGAAACATGCACCTCACTTGGTGCAGGTCTGGGGCTGGAGGGCGGGGCGGGGCGGGGGCGGAGGTGGTCACAGGCTCTGGTTGTGGGGTCTCGCCTCCCGGGAACAGCTGGGGGCAGCTGTCAGAGGCAGCCAGCCCAAAAGCCCCCAGCCTCTTCTCAGGCAACGTCCCTGCAGCTGCTGACCTCCCCGAGGTTCTCCCGCACCCCTTCCTGCTGCTCTGACTTTTCTCTCGGACCCCTGACAGACTTCTCCTTGCTGATGCGG